TGTTTCTACAGCTTTTTAGAGTTCTCCCAAACTTTCACGAGTGTTTCCATAACTCGATAGAAACACAGAGAACATGTTTTCTATTTCTTTTAGAAAATACTGCGAAAACAAAATGAGGGCCGCTTCATTGCGTTTTCGAAGTAAAGAGGATTTAGATAAAGTTTTGAACGACTAGTAGATTCATACTAGGACAATGAATTTGACTATTGGCTCTCGACTTCTATCGGTGATAGTTGACTCGGGCTGCGCCCTCGAACTATCACAAGGTAGAAATGTCGACCTTAGAATCTAATTGTTAGATAAACACGATTTTTAGCCAATCAGCGCGAGTAGTTTCTTTGGGCAATTTACTAAATTTACTAAAGCAAACGAGTGCGAACCAAGAAATTAAAAAAGACTGGTGACTATGCCTCCGGGTAGAGTTTCTGCAGCATCTCTTTGCCAAGCTCATGCACCTCCTCAAGGGTTTTGCTGCTTGACGTAAAATACGGCAGGATTGATTCATATGCCTTCATTCCGTTCAGCGGTTCTCCATTTGGCAGCTGTTTGCTTGTTGTCTCTGCTGTTTTACTTCCGTTCACGAACACATAAGAAAGTGGAAGCTTTGCCAGGCCACTGGAGACTGAACTAGGAAAGCAATGCTCGAGGTTCTCTGTTTCAAGGTATCTAGTGTTTGATTTAAAACAAGTTTCCGTTCCGGCTAGGCATCTTGCATACTGTCGACTAAGGCTTATTATTTGTCATGTTTACGTATAAGAATTTCCTATAATGCATTTTTTCTTCAATTACTATTAAACTTTTCCTTTATCGTGGACTGCGAAAATTCCTTTTTCTTCAGTTCTTTTAGGCGCGAAAACAAAGCGAAATATCGTAAAAATCGAGCAGCGAGCGACTTGTTTTTACCGCCTCACGACTCACATTTATTTCCGAAATAGAAACTAGTGAACCTATGGAGCAAGGGCGCATTTCGCCAGGGGCTTGCCGGTAAAAAAAAATAATTGTCCACACACAAGTGGCTGTATTATTGGTTGTTCTAGCTCCTTTAAGGAGCTTTTGAAGTGTGTTCTAACCTGTGAGTGAGGCAACAGACACGGTATGTCAGGAAGTACTACAGTCACCCTGCCCTCCCTGGTTCTTAGTCTCCCTAATCTGAGAGTCTAGAACTTGCCAGTTGCACCTCAAAGCGGTTATGGAGAGAGCGTTATAGGAAGGGGGTGGGGGGCGGGCAAGAACTATGTTTGGCAAAACTTTGTGGGAAAATCGTTAACTTTCCGTTGTGTCTTATCCAATCAATAAAGCATTTCGAAAGTTTTCATTCGATCATTCAGATGATATTCAAACTGTGGGCTTTGAAATTTCGGTTTCGGACACAGATATTCCCCATCAACTAGTACGAATTCTTCCCGGCACATCTATCTTATCGTATTCCTACCTGATCACATTGTGCACAGGTTTACCAATGTATTTTACCGCGTATTCCCGGATGGAATCGTTCACAGTCTTCCCGTTCTCGTTTTTCCATTTGTCCAGGTCCTTGGACTTTAAACCTGCTAAAAACTTAGCAGAGAAGATTGGCTTCATGTATTGCTCGTCATAAATTCCTGAAAATACAGTATTAAAGAATAATGTTAAAATTATTAAACCTCATTTCCTGGAATTTTTTCTTTGAAGAAGAAGAACGCTTGATATTCTTGTGGAATAGCCGGTATGTGCCAATCTTTTCCTCCCAAACCCCAGACCAGTATTCAGTCGGTAATTCAAGAGGAAAATACAGTAAAGGTCTCAACAAACAGTCTAAATATCTACTGGGTTATCTCATCACAAGAGCGAAAGAAAGTGATAAGAATTTTGTTGGTTACTCCGACACCAGTTACACGCACAAGTTCAGTGATAATAGGCCATTTTCGAGCTTTTCGAGCTCTTTGTCAAAACGACTCTTCGTGTGAAACCATTCATATGAAAATGTGTTCCCCCTACAGGTTCATTTTCATGCAAATCAAACTCGTTTTCATATGAAACAGAGGGAAAAGGGAATCTCGGAAATGGCCTATTATAGCAGCCTTCGTCACACAACACTTCTGTACTTGTGACTAAAGGCGTTGCGTGACGACGTGACACCAGCTGCACGCGATCAATGTTCAACAGATAGTGCCAGGTTACTAAACTACACATACCTTGTTCTCCTTGAAGAGAAACCTTTAAATAACTTCGTTTGAATGCATTGATACCAGCCAGGCATTCTTTAGTCGAGCGAACCATTCCAGCTTCAACACCAAGTCGCAAGTTATTGATATAAGTTGAAAAAGTCTCGGCAAACAACTTCATTTTGTTTAGAAACAACTGCAAATCATCCAGATCTTTAGGGCGGATATTTTCCAGGCCGTTTGCAATATCGGACGACCCAACGTCACAAATCTGCTGGCAGCAAAACAGATTTGGTTCCACGGGAAAATCGCCGACATAGTAATCGGCATCGTAAGGTTTTCCCGCAATTGTTTTGAAGGAAATGCTTCACTTGCGCAATGGCTTTTTTCTCGCGCGGTTTCAAGCGCCGGGTATTGACACCCAAACCATCCAGCTCGTCAAGTAGATTTCGCGCGGAGTCCGTGACTCGCTCCAAACTTTTAGGATCCGGGTTGCACGGTTTGAATTTTGCCATCAGCACTGACGGTTCCACGCCACCAGGTTTGTTAACCAAGTCTTGTGGATGAAGATCAAAGTAGGTATCTTGAACTTTCTGCAGAAATATGTCGACACCCGCTCGCTTCGCTTCCTCTGAATAACTGCAGCGATCGGTTTTCGCACCACCGCTTTGACCGGCAACGACTGCTTCGCATTCTTCACGTTTGGCTTTTGTTATGAGGACGATATCAACAATAAGAATCAACCCAATCAGGGTGATAACTCCGGCAACCAGCATAAGCACATCCCGCTTTCTCTGCAGCACCATGTTATCGGACAACTAACGCTACGTGTGGCTTACCGTGTTTGTTTGTTCAATGTTTTAACACATGGTGTAAGTGTTAACTTTGGTGTTTTATTGGTTTTATTCTAATTTTGATCCTAAACATGCTAAATACTTTTGTTGTCCAAGAGCTTTCTCAAAGAAGGGAGTTATTGAACTCAAGAACCTCAGATCGACAGAGTAAGTTGTTCACGATTTCATATAAGCCGGGAACGATGATTATAATTGTAAATTCTGACGCTTTAGGGACACATTCATGCTGAGCGGCGAACTCCACATCTCTACCCGCTAATCCGCACATTCTGCGGGCGCACTAAAGTGCAAGGCACCATGCAAAAATACTGGAATAGACTGGACTGTGAAACTAGGGATTCTGGAACATTTGGAACTAAAATCAAACAAAGTTCTTTCCTGCAGTTTTGACATCTTCTGCTTTTCTCAATTTTCCTTTATAAAATAAAAATATACCTCTTTAGTTTCAAAAATCGAGAGAAGAATTTGCCCTACGGTCTGTTTAACAACAGGCTACGATAAATTATCGACGGGTTGGGTTCAATTAAATCAACTATATCAGAGTTGTTCACACACCCCCAGATCGTCAAAGGACAGAAGAACATATCTGGTAGCCTCAACGGCACTGTGAAAAGCCTGCTTATGCTTCGCTCTCGCTAATGGTAACGTAACATAATCTCTCATACCCCTTGCGTTTGATAGCTAGTTTCCCGCCGCGACATCGCAGAGTTCTCGTCAAATGACTGTGAAATGATAGATGTTCATCTGATTTTATCATTGGCTATTTTCTAGCTAGACTGAAACTTATTACATCAACTGAACAATTCCCTGCATCGACCAAGACCTCTCGTAATATAATAATTTTAGTTTAAAATATCTATGCTGTCGCACGGGGGCGCAATGTTCACAGTAATGTACAACTGGGTCGCTGATTTACAGCTTTTAACTCCCGGGGTAATATTATTACAAAATATTACCAACAAGAACACAGAAACAAAAAAGTTACAATAAATAGAAAGTAAATGTGCGCAGTGACCAAAGTAGCTCATAAATTACTTGTTGGATGACTGATGATTATATATAAAAAACAATGGGACGTGTAAGAGGTAATTAATAGGCTGATCAGACACATCATTCCTTAGAAACAGCTTGAGAATCTAGGAGGTACAGTTTTATTGCTTGCCACGTAAAGAGATACGGATGCTCGTCGGAAAATTTGAATTAAACCCCTAAGAGAAACCAACCTGGGTGTGGTTCGAGCATTACATATATTTGACTCCTACAAGATACCACTTGTCGAGCGGTAAAAGAAAAAGTGACCTTCACATCCAGTGACGCGGACGGTAGGATAATCTTAATCAACCTCACTTACAACGGTCTAAAATTGTCATTTTGTAATAAATACACGCCCAACGACCACACACAACAAGTAAGTTTCATTCAAGAACTAAATTGTCTCTTAATTGACAAATCGGAAATTACAACTCTTATAGTAGGAGGTGATTGGAATTGTATGCTATCTAAAAAAGACAAAAAAGGTGGTTCTCCTTGGAGGCCAACAGCATATAGGAATTTGGTAAATATCACCATGGATACCCTTGACCTTGTCAACATACAAAGAACTCGTTATCTGAATGTTAACAAGTTCTCTTACAGGTCTAAAACGTTAGGCGTGAAATCAAGAATAGACTTCTTTTTAATATCCAAGCACTTGACAAAATTTGTTAAAAAAGTGGACATCCAAACCTCAATAG